TTACCAGGGCCCCATTTACTCTGCTGGCTCTCATAGTAGTAGCTAGCTAGGGTCAGGAGGGACCTGAACAGATTATTTAGCCTGACCCCCTGCCACAGGCAGGAATGAATGCTGGGTTCACAAGACCCCAGACAGGTGATCATCCAACCTCCTCTTGAATTTGCCCAAGGTAGGGGCAAGGACAACTTCCCTGGGAAGTTGGTTCCAGATTTTAGCCATCCTAACTGTAAAATATTGCCTTCTGATCTCTAACTTAAACCTATTCTCCATCGGCTCTCACCCAGCCTCTTTTACACTGCCCTCTCTCAGGGTCATACTCATCCTACCCAGCCTCACCTGGCTTTGGGCTTAGCTCTCCATGCCTTAGTCACCCCTGGCGCAGTCTGCTGGGTGTCTCCCACTACCCTCACCTTATTATTGCCAATTCTATAAGTACAGGACTATTTTCCTCCTGGCCCCTCGCCAGGCCATTATCCCGCCCCTACCCCCCCGGGCCTTCTCACTCACCCACACTCATGGGGCCACTCTAATATTTGCCCCTCTCACTCAGGGTCTCACTCTCACCCCCAGGCCTTCTCCTGCCAGCTGGGTGTGGCCCCAGGTCCCTCCTCCAGCCTGAACTTTGCCTCAGGGCTCCCCCTGCTCGTTAGAACACCACCAGGGATGTGGGGCTGGGGTTATAAGATGCCCTGACCCACCTTTCACCGGGAGGTAACTGGTCTGGCATTTCTTGGGGACTCCAACGCCACTAGGAGCCCCACCAGACCACCCTTTCCTGGCAGGGTGCAGTTTTACATTTCACCCAGGATAAGGGGTCACCGCCACCCCATAGCCCCTGCCCTTACCTCCTGTTATTCCTGGAGCAGCCTCTCAGTCTGACGTCACCTCCTTCCTTCCTGCAGCAAACTGCAGCCCTGCTTATATCACTGGGCCAAAATGGCTGCCCTAATCAGGCACCTGGCTGCTACGTGTCTGCCCTTAAGGTGGCAGGCACCAAAGGTGCACTGCTACACCTATAAACTGAAGAGAAGATGCCTCATCACAGACAGTACTAGGAAAAAAGAAAGGAGGGAGAAGCACAAGGTGTGGCACATCCTCCACCCTCTGAATCCTCTTTATTATTATCTTTGATAAATATAAATAGCCACAAATTAAAAAGGTATGGGGACATGAACTGATCTTACCCAGAGGAAATTTACAGATATGCAGCTAATCCTCATTATGCCACAGTATGCAACTATTCAACCTTGAAAAGCAAAAATCAAAAGTGCAGGATACCAGAATTCACTTCAGGCCACTCTGTAAAAGTTGCTGTTAAAGCTACGTAGAAGGGAGTAAAAAGAACAGAACAGAAAAGAACAGGACAGAACAGAAAAAGAAAAGAAGTCAGGGCCACTGAGAATGTGTTGGTCTTTTGTCCCGTTTTAAATGAGAGAAATGGGAGACATTCAGAAAAAGAAAGAAAGGCCAGGAATAAGCGGTTACAGGTTGTGCACGTCAGCCCAGTTTGATAACAGGAAGCACTTTGCTAAGATACTGTGCCTGCTCTGCGCATGTCATTTCCTGGACTGCAGGTAGTGTAGCCACCTTAATGAAGCAGTGTACCCACCAGTAAGCCCTGTGGTTACATTGCTATGCTAAGACAGCAACACTTTTTTCTGTTTCAGGAGGTAGCATACAGGGAGTGAGTAGAATATAGTCTTCCTGGAGCTATATTAGGACAGTATAGATGTATCCTCAGAGAAGAAAAAGAGTAAAGCATGAGAGGGACTGTGATACTGCAACCAGGAAAATGGAGCACATTGCTAAGATGGAGGAGACCACCCCCAACAGCCCAGGTTAAAAAAAAAAAAAGCAGTCCCAGTCCCTGCAGTTGCCTAGCTACTAAGCATGTTGATTTTGGTCATGGTTCTCTCCCCCAAAGCCAATTTTCTTCTCGTAAATTCAACCATCTTTTCCCATAGCACCACCTCAGCATCTCTCTTGCCTAAAAGGCATCATTGGATTCTTGGCCCCTTCTCTCCTGACCAAGCCATTTTTTCTTTTGACTTGCCTTCCTTTCCAAGGCAGCCCCAGAAGCACGTTTCAGAGGCACTCTAGCAGAGTGAATGACACTATAGGAGACCCTCGCCATTCGCAGGGGATACGTTCTAGAGATCCCCACGAATGGCGAAATCCGCGAATACTGTACTGCATCATCTGAGTTGAAAACTTGTGGGGGATAATTCTGCGCTGCTTTATGGTTCGCTGGTGCCGACTCTCCCATCAAATTCACATTATGTAGGCTGTGCCTCTTTTTTACATTTCTCAAACCACCACTTACTTGTGGAGTGCAGTAGCAAAGTGCCATCACGCTGCGCAGGGAGAGAGCATGGGTTGGCATGGCGCACCATGAATATTTGAAACCACGAATTGCAAATCTGTAAATAGTGAGAGTTTCCTGTACGTCTGAATTTAGCAAAAATATTCCCTTGTTGCATGTCACTAGACTAGCAAATGCAGAATTGAGAGGGTGTTTCTGGAAAACACGGCTGTGGAGGGCCAAATACAGTCAAGCTGCTTGGGCTCCTAAAATGGAGGGTCACAGCTTTGTATAGTAACAACTATATTTGCTGTCCTATTTCCCTGTGTTCACACAGGTTGGGGCATGTTTTTGGATATTCAGATAGAGAACCAAGGAAGTTTCAAGCAAATATAGCATTTTAACATAAAATTAATACAGGTCCTAACTGACAATTTGAGATCTATTTTAACTGGTTTGAGAGGTAATCCAAAAAATTTTTTTTAAAACTTGGCGTTATAAAACTCACAGCTACTAAAAGTCCTCTCCAAAAGCAGAGAAGGAGATTATGGGGAAGGAAAGAGGGGAGGAAGTTCTTTTCCTCATGGAGATGCATTAGATTGCTAGATGTAAAGGAAAAGGCAGGCTATGAAATTCACAATAAATTCATTCAGATTAGTCATAATTCATTCAGATTAGCCACAACTTTCAGCTTCAGCAAAGGTCCCTCATAATCCATCAGCAAACTGACAAGATGCTTCTTCCACGTAAACCCTCAGGCTCTTCCAGCACAAAATTCAGTAACTGTCATGACTAACCAAATGAATGATTCTGGATCACATAAAAAAACATGAAGAACCCTGAAAAGGGGTGGAGAAAAAAGGTACAAATCTAATAGCACCAAAAAGAAGGACATTTTAGAGAGCTGCAGAAGCTGTAGTGTTCAGGATTGCTGCAGGCTGATGTATGGCACTAACTATACTGCTGAACAAGTCAATTTGCAAGGTCAATTCCTAACACCACAGAAGTGAGAAAATATATTCTACAGAAGGCAAAGCTAAGACTGTGTTATTTCTGCTAATATAGTCTTGAACAATATGATACAGCCAAAAAGCAGTTCTGCAAGGCTGCACTGATTCTCTAAAAACTGTCGCTGAATGCTTATGCAAGACATCAAGCTGAAGTGTGCTAGTTAATGTGCATTTAAATCCATGCTCTCCATCACCGTGCTTTGAGGGTGCAGAGTTTAGGGGCCAGGTCAGAAAACAGAAGGAGGGGAAAACTTTTGTTTTGCCCCACTTGGATGTTAGGCTCTTTCTCCATTCTCCAACACTCTCCACTCAGATCCTCTATTACAGGGGTTGGCAGCCTAAAATTACTAACTTGGAGGCCCATGGAGCCATGGCTTTGGTGGCATTTGGCAGCAGGGACCTCTACCTGTGCTGCACTGCAGGCAGGCCCTGGGGTTCTGGTGGACGGGGAGCCCTGCCTGTGCTACGGTGCAGTTGGGGGGCACGGGCACCAGCAGAGGGGGCTTCCTCTGCACCACACTGCAGCTGAGGGGCAGGGAGAAGTCATGGAGAGCAGGTCCTGATAACTGTCCACCTCCTATCAAAGCAGAGACATTCTGCTCTCCGACTCCCTCCCAGAAAATATTACTGACCCCTGGTCTATTATATTAACTTCTTCAGCTCTCCTTTTGTGAAGCGAACTTTGTGGGGGGCTCTCCAGGGAGGAGTAAAGGGTTCCCTCCCAACAGAAGCCAAATGGCCACATGCTACCTTTGCAGCAGGACAGCACACTTGGGACAACGTGGATGGCAGGCTGAACCAATGATTTGTGTTTTAACAAAACTCCTCTCTCATTCCAAGTTATATTTAAGAATTAGACAAGAAAGAAAAGGCTACTCGGACTAGATTCCACACCTCAAGCTAAGAAGCTCAGTAGTAGCAGATGGCGTGCAAGCACAGCTTTGTTTATGTTTAAAGACCTAGTGTACACTAAGTGTAGCATTTGTTGATTTTAATTACTCAAAACTGAAGAGAATGACTTCAAAAACAAGAGACTTTGATATGACCATGATGAAATTTGCTAAAACAAGTTTCACATTTTTAAGATACATTTCCTTTCACAGACAGTAGTGTAGACTACAAGACATTACACTTATGTTTCATAAAAAGATCATTGGGTTTAATAACTCTGCGTTGGTCATAGTGCATGCTGCATTTCAGGCAAGGGAAAATTAAATGATCAGGTTTTAAATACACTTGTAGTTGACTGATTACCAGAAATTTAATGAGCTGGGGGGGGGGGGGGGG